GTCGTGTCGCGCTTGCTCTCCGGAACTAGCCAGCTCTTTGTCGGGCATTGTTTTCCTGAAGGTGTGTTGTGTGTGGCCTGAATGCGCCCAAAGAGCAGTGTTGACCAGACCACACTGTGGCATGCGGGGCACCTTTGCGGATGCTGGCGTGTCTGCGCGCTAACAGTGCCTTCTTTGCTAAAGAGGGGTAAGCATTTCTGACCTCATACGGACTGCGCATACACTAGGGCGTCCGTAGTGTAGGCTAAGCACTGGTAAAAGGTATGAGGAGTGGAGTGTCTTGAGGAAATAGCCGGCTTATGGTTATGGCAAATCTGGGGGGTCGATTTACCCCCCGCTTATCTATGCCTTCAGCCGGAACGAGGGGTAAGCATCACAAGGACTGTGCATACACTAGGGCGTCCGTAGTGTAGGATAAGCGCTGGTAAAAGGTGTCAAGAATAGAGTGTCTTGAGGAAATAGCCGGTGTATGGTTATAGCAGCGCCGCCGGCAGCAAGCACCACCAGTGTGATATGTCAAGGTTTCAGGCACACAGCTCATCTCAGCTTTCCTGACAAGGACTGTGCATACACTGGCGCGTCCGTAGTGTAGCCTAAGCCCGGGTAAAAGGAATCAAGAACACAGAGTCTTGAGCACATAGCCGGTGTATGCTTATAGCAATCCCTGTCCGGCTTCTGGTCTTCCAGCTCCTCCCCCAAGAAAAGGGGTCGGCGGCACCAGGGCGGAGCCCTTACTATATGTTTATAGTAATATAGGGGCCCGCTTTGCACGAGGACGAGTACTAAATGCTCTCAAGGACACCAAAGAAACCCACATTTCTAACATTTCGAACAATATAGCCTTACCAGTTGAGCATCCTGAGCATCACAATTTCCAGCAGCACAAAGAAGTTCTCTTCGGTGTGAGTGAACCACTTGCCAGTCATTCATGTAGAGATGCAATTCCTGTTGCAAAAAGTGGTCAGGCCTTATCTGCAAAGTCAATGGGCACCGAATGGCACCGACATGTCCCAGATAGCACAACTCACATGTGCATAAGGCTGTCCGAAACAGTTGCTCTTGTGAAAGCATGGAGTGCCAGGGAAACATGTTTTGCAAACAAGGGCTGAATCGAGTTCCCAAACCCCTGGGCGAGACTGGGGCTCCCCGTGCCAATTCCTGAGGTCCAAGGTGCTGGTAGATTGCACTGTTGAGGAATCCAAAATCTGCTAGTCGCAAGATTTTCCTGGGAGTTGATGCTTTTCTGTCATGCATAGTCAACGTTCCACCGCTGGACATTCTTGTGGGACGAATCAACGCCAAAATGCACGCCAGCAAAAGAGTACACTGAGTACACCCTTTAAATCATCGCAAACTAGTAACTAGTCCGAAGTCTTCTAACTAAGGCCAGCTCGAAGGATGGGATGTTGGGAAAGAGAAGCCACACCCCAGGCTGTTGACTCCGTTTGCACCTGCAAGTAATCGCAGGCACCATTCTGGAGTGACATCCGACCCTTCACAGGCACGCCTTGGAGCTGGGCTCAAACAATGTGTTTCTAGGTGACACTGCAGTCTTATTGAACCTAAATGAAGTTCTTCTCATGGCAAGTCCTCTTCTTGCACCAATCGATTGAATAGCCGAGCGACGCGTATTCAAAATAACAAATTACAGCCGCATGAAACCAGGCCCTACCCGATCCTGTCCCTGGTCCACCTCAGCTTCCAGCATCCAAAAATAACAATTACTGTACATACAAGGAACTACCAGGTTGCGGTTCCCCAGGTCGCCTGATGTAAACAAGGCGCCTGGGGAACCGCTTGGTCACTCCCACCCAGCGCTTGCTCCATTCGCACCATTTGTTCACTTCGTGAGTTGAGCGATTCGTTTCAAGAACTGGCTTGGTTTCACCCACCGATCTTAGATCTTCATCTAAAGAACATTTCAACAGAAAAGCACTCACATCGTCCAATTCCCGGGTCACCAATTCGATCAAAGAATCTAACACAAACGGATCCACTAAAAAGAACGGCTGTAAAGGAGCTGGAAAGTCAAAACGAGCTAAACTTCGATCACATTCGAACGCCAACCGCAACAACACCACCACACTACACAGACCTAAAACTGCTTCCCAATCCATTCAGCCAAAACCTGCACGACACTGAAACATGAAATGCAACAAACGTTCGATCTTCGCCCCCCCCCGTCCCCCCCTTGGTGCTGCTTACTCATCTCACAAAAATGCAACCAACATATGTAACATACTTGAGAGGAGGGAGACACGAAAGGTAGGACGGAAGAGAAGAGAACGCGAGAAGCAGGAACAAAAATGCAACGTTCGACATGGTGATTTATCCCCTCGGAGGAGACCTTTCGTAAATCGTAAATATATGTTCATTTGCACTCTAATTGTTCAAACATATGCTCTGGAAATGTTCAAAAAGATTCTGAGGAAAACAAACTTGCCCCATGGATCAGATCATCGGTGAGCATTGAATCGGAGCATCATAGGATTTGAACTATCCTGAAACCATAAGAGGCTCACGAAGACGCTCCCCAGGAGAGAATTGACGTGCTTCACAAAACAAACTCTAGGTATGTATCCCCTCGAAGAACACCTTTCGTGATTAGAATTTCATATGCACTCTTTCTAAATGTTCAAGAGGGTTTCAACTATTCTGAAATCATGAGAGGCTCACGAAGACGTTCTCCAGGAGAGAATTGAATTTAGAGGGGGGGAGGGGGGGGGTTTGTATTGAAAAATCAATTCCAAGGGGCCGGGGGGGGGGGGGTGTAATGAAGAATTAAAACGGGGGGGGGGGGGGGGGGGGGTTTGAATTGAGTGATCAATTATTAGACCCGGACGTCCCAACACTTGCTTCGCAAGACAAACTCAAGGTATCCCCTAAAGGGCTACCTTTCGTGATATAACAAAACAATCAAAAATTGGGTGCGTCGCTCTCCCCAGGCACCCTGCGGGTAAACACAAATACACTGTAAATACAATAAAACATGATCCCAAACGCTATAAAACTACCAGGCAACCTGGGGAGCCGCATGCAACTACCATGTAAATAAGGCCATTGCTATTACGTTGGAGGCCATCATCACTACTAGGTTGGAGGCAATCGCTACTAGGTTGGTTGCCATCGCTATTGGGTTGGAGGCCATCGCTACTAGGTTAGAGGCCATCGCTACTAGGTTGGAGGTCATCGCCAGGTTGGAGGCCATTGCAACTAGGCAAAAGGTGTCTACTTGTTTGTTGTTGCATCTGTGCGCCACCTGAAGTCCCTTGAAGTCATGTCCATCCAACAAAACCCCCTTCATTGCGCCACCTTCAGCAGGAAAGGTGAAATTTGCAACCTCCTGCTGGTGTGGATAAGATGTGACGGGCTGCAACGCGGAAGCGATGGACAAGAAAAGGAAGAGCGCAAGCAAAAGCCTCCAGAAACATGCGGAGTGATCTTGCAGTCTTGCATGCAATATATGCAAGTTCCATGCGTTTGCAACAGGCTTCCAACAGCAACAACTTGCTGGAGACAAACAAATACAGTGTGTAATACAACTATATATATATGAACACATGATACGTATGTCTATACACATACAGTATATGCTTATATTATGCATGAAAACATACATAGTTTCACTGCAACCTATCGCCACCCGACGGTTTGTCAGTACTGTGCATGTATTTTTCATGCTAGCGCTACCACTTGTTAGGAGCGCTGGCGTTGAGTTGCCGTTGCTGTTGCTTGTTGATGTTGTCATTTGGGTGTTGATCAAAATAAAGGTAGCTGAGGCAGCTACAATCGCCGATCAACCGCGAATCAATCGCGATCCCAACGGTGTCAATCGCGGGAGACTGCTCTCGTATGCAACATTATTATTTTGCGCAAAGAATCGTCGAAATATGTGCTACATATCACAGTATTTAGAGACATGGCATGAGCCAGGGCCTACTCAGGCGGGTTTAACAATCGCGGCACAATCACGGATCAATCGCGGATTTTGTCGACATGTTTTTGAGAATTGAATTGATCTGGGCTGGTAGACTTTGAACTTTGTTGTTCTGATTCTTTGCTATTGGCTATCACTATTGAACACAGTGTCTAGGCAGGCCCGCATACACTGTAAGGCTGAACTGTAATGCCGCCATATAATATTGATTTCTCCTCTTACAATGGTCGATTCTGAGACAACAAATGTTTGTCTCAATCGCGAACCAATCGCCGATCAACCGCGATGCAGAGTTTTACAATCGCAGATGCTGAGATACACATGCCCTTTCATAGTTCTTAGATTTGCATTTACGATCAGCTCCCATTTGGTTTGCCATTGCTTTTGTGTTTGGGGTTTGCCGCGGATGTTGTCATTATGTTCCGTTCTGACCGGCATTGTTGTTGTTGTCACTAGGTTGGACACTAGGACTGGACAACATCTTACGGAATAGTCACCTTTGGCAGGGCCTGGATAGCGTGACCCTGGTGAGACTTAGCACTGGGTTGGGCGACTGTTCGGTTGGGCAAGGATACCAGGTCAAAACACGTTGTTCTAAAAACTAATCCACGACGTGTGATGACACAGAAATATGATGAAATATGAACCAAGGAACGCTACTAGCATCATCAGGGATACAGAGACAGCTCGAAAGTGCGGAAAGCGCCGCTGCAGCAGCAAGAAATAGGTTGCAAGTGCCAGGATGGGCATGAGCCAAAAGGTCATGCCTTAGCTAGCTGTTCACTACCTTCACAACAAACAAGTCTTTGAAAGTGTCGTGTTGAGACCACACGGCGTAATCCACGTCTTTTCTTCCAAACACCTGGCAGCTTGGTGGCTGTTCCAAGGCGCGACCACAAAGTTCAGAAAGAATGTCATGACACCGCAACCCAAGGAGACTGCCTCAGTTGCATCAGGTTTTTGCATCTCATGGACCATAGGTTTTGGATGGTTTTTGACTGAGGTGTTGGAACATTGACATGTGGAAAGGCTGGAACCTTTGACGTGCAAGCAATCCGTCAATCTGTGCCCGTCATTATTGGATACGTATGCATTCACCTTACAACTGTGATGATAAGCTCACATTCACCAATCAAAACTAACTAGTGCTCTCCTTTGTGTGGTACTTGGGTCTGCTGGGCACTGGCCTGGTAGAATTGGTGCGTTGGCAGCATGGGAAATCACGAGAAGCAACAAGTATATCAGTACGTCAGCTACAGTACATGCGCAGGACTATCAACTGGCGACCAAGTGTATTCGTATTTTGTGTAAAGAGTCAAGGATACAGGGTGCCCACACTTTGGTAGCAACACGCAACATTATTCTGCATAAAAAAGCAAAATCATGCAACCATATTAAAACAACAAAACAGTTGGGTGGTTGCTAAACAGAATCACATGCACCATGCAACAGAACACTTATTTCATCGCTGGCAGCGATCTGCCGATTTGGTCTCATCCAGTTCCATGGGTACCAGCTTCTCTATTACACATTACCTATTATATATAATATGCATACAGCAATTACAACATAGACTACTAATTGATATGCATACAACAAACCTGCTGCTTCTTAGCGGCCCCATGCAGGTACGGTGCCAGCTGTGGTAGGAAAACCGCACACACAGCAGGTGATATTTGAATCATCAAGAGGACGGTGCACAAAATGCCAGTTGCGATGTATCCAGCCTGGCTAACTGGCTAGACTTGCAAAACATCTCGCAAACACTGCATAAAGTAAAAACAACTCATGTATATTAAAGATTTGGATTTCTTGGAACGCTTTTAACAGGAAGGTCTTGAAGAAGTCATCCTGAAAAGTTCCTATTTCCAATGTTTTCAATTGTAATGTTTATTTGTCATTGCTTGTTTCATATGAAAAGAATTTCATATGAAAATAAACCACCAAATAAATATATAACAACGGAATACAATGGGTGCAGCCACAAACCACAAAGTCACCCGGCGCAACAAGTTCAATATTTGTTTGCACTGGATCGTCCTGATTAAAAATACATAAGATAAAATCTGAGTTATTACTCTGCATGATAGTCTCTGTAAACTCGCAATTGATATCTTATGTTTCTTATATCTTTTGTGTTATGCGATTGGGGCGCTGTTGATCTCCTTGCAAACAGAACGTATATAAACTCAAATCAAAGCAAGCAAAGGATTCACATTGAAGTAAGGTTAACTTTCTCTAAAACATATAGGAAATAAATTAACAGTGCGTGAGCTATCCTGTGGCCTAAGTAGTAGCCTTATGTAAGGTACTAGCTTACTTAATTAAGTAGGCGCCTAATTACCTAATTACTGTAATCCTAATTAAGTAGGGAGGGGGGAGCGGGCTAAACGAAAGAAAAACAAGTGGATAAATAGCATGTTATGCAAACATTGCAAGCGGTTTCCAAGAAGAGGAGTCTTACAAATCCAAGTGCGACGTCCCGACGTCATCTGCTTGGACGAGCACGCAAACCCTCGTTGAAGACACTTGAAAGACTTAGAGAAACGATCCTGTTTGTTGACGGTAGCCATGCACTTGCTACTAGTAGCTTCTTGTTCATAAAGGTGAAACGGTTCTGGTTGTCGGGTGATCCATTTCATTGTTGCTTCCTTCTGCCTTCAGTCCCTCTTGATTTTGTAGCTTGGATCTTCCAAACTATATATCAACAATAACCAGCATTGCGCACCTGTTACTAATTCAACCTTGAAAGGACATTCTCATGAAGCTACCAAACCCTGAGATATACTGATTTCAAAAAGGCACTGGTTTTCTTTACTCTGTATGGTTATCAAACACCCTTTAGCAACATTTTGCGTTATCTTACTGTATGGTTCCTTTGCTCTAGAGCCTTTGCCCTTTGAGTCATGAGTCCTTGCCGTTGCAAATATTGCTGAAGTTAACCCACCGCTGTTCCTTTCCCATTGTATGATCATGATTGCTGCATTGACTGGCCAGCTTTCTACCTTCTATGTATATATATCTATATAGAGAGAGATATAAATGAGTAGCAAGCTGCAAGCTATCAGAAGATGCCAAATCCACACCAAACACTAGGTAATGTGCGCTTCGACCAAGGCGCCTCCTAGCCTTGCCAAAGGCACACCCTTTTTTAGCTTCAATCGCCCAGCAACTCCACCACTCAGTTGCCTTTGGTGAACAACAAAATCACACCTTAAGCTTGATGCTGCACGGGGGGTCTTTGAAGTCAGCTGCAAATACCAGCACCACCGGTCAAGACAGCTGACCCTGAAGAGCCACATACCAAGTGTTTGGGCTAGCTACTGAAGTAGCATGCTTCCATGGCCGGGCTCCTGAATGGAAATTAAATTGATCTGGTTCTTGATCTATATATATATAAATCTTCACTGTGTGGAGAGCAGAATAGCGCACCATGGAGCCAACAGGGGGCCGGAAAAATCAATTAAACAAGATATGGTCACCGCCACGCAACCCCACAAAATTATATACATACTCAAAATAATGCCAAGAGCGAAAGAACAGCTGAAAAACATTGTAAATACTACCAAATTATGAATTGATGCAAATCATTGCACGAGCTTCCAACAGGTGAGTTTTGCTATTTTGCGAAGGTACTCTGTTTGGTTTTCTTGATACACGTCGATAACTACTATCCGAATCCAATTGCAGGCTGGCATCCTTGAGGACACGGACAAGGTATTTTTAAAAGTCCGTATTCCAGTCAGGGATTGTGAAAGGGTGTGCATGCACGCCAGGCATCTTTCAGGAATGCGATCTGTGTTGCCCGACGGGATTCAGTTGTCTGAGCCTACTTGTTCAAATCGTAGGATATCAGGGTAAAGATATCAAGCAAGGAACAGTATCTATCTATCTATCTATCTATATATATATATTATATAGATCGTCCAGCTGCAACAAAATGCATGCCACTTCTCATGTCCACTTCTTTGCCTGCAAACTGCTTGAAATCTGCCATTGTGACTTCGCCTGGAGCAAAGTGGAGCAAACCAAAAGGCCTACCAGAAGAACAGCCATCCCATTTTCAAACCTCAGTGCGCGTGCGCACGAAGCTGTTCGTTGTTTCACCCCTCCACACAACCTTCCCGTCAAGCAGGGTAGGCTTACATTGATGTAAGCAGTATGTACTGTATATACGGTATGATCTTACAGGTAGAGTAGTACCGAGTACCTATTAAAAACGTGCCCCTATTAATTAAAAAAAGCGTGTCAGAAACCCCTAAGTACGGCCTATATTCGTTTTAGAATTACCGCCCTTTCAAGCCGCTACTAAACTACCAACATTGCCGATTTTGGGGGGAGTCGTCTTTATTGGGTTCCAAAAGCAACCGTAACTGCCCACCTCTGTCCACCCTGTCTATCCACCATGACACGCCGTGTTTACACCAGCAGGCTTTCCTTCCCCCAATGGCACGGACTCACGCAAGCGCACTTTCCACCGAAGTCACGCAAAACCGCATGGCACAGCGACATCACCTTTCGAAAGCTTTAGTTGTTAGTCTAATGAATCACTATTCTAATTTCTAATAAAGGTTTTTGTAGGAGAAAAGAAGACCCTTCGATCTGGAGGTTTTGTTAATTTTTGATACGAGTTTAATAAAGGTTTTTGTATAAAATTTTCCTGGGTCACTTTTTGGTTTTGAAGCCCTTCCCAGGTGACCCTTTTTTGGACCCCCCGATTTCAGGGACCCCCTATTTAAAAAAAGCGACCGAGGTTTCCTTTATTAGGAGTGTGTGTGTGTGTGTTTTTAATAGGTGGACCGGATTATGTGCAGCGCAGGTTTTGCAAACGCATGACCCGTTGCATATCCAGCCAGGCCACATTTGCTGGGAGCTCCCACCACACCGAGCCTCTAAGAACCTGCACCATTTTCCCAAGGGCTCTTGGCGGAAGTGGATCCGGGCTCCGACCTCAGTCACTTCCACAGAAAGCACAAAGGAAATGCCATGTGCCTTAACAAAGTCCAATATCAGTTATTTTTTTCAACAAAATATAGGTACTGGGTACCAGAGGTTGAAAACTAGCTTGTGCTGTTGAGTGGGAATTATGCTACAAAGTGGAACATTTTCTGGTAGGTTCCGGCGACAGCCCAACGCACGATCCCGGTGTGTCAGTCGTTGCGCGCTGCCTCCACCATGAGCTGCCGAGTCACCGGGTATCGAGATAGGCAGTCACGAACCTGTCCATCCTAGGCCGGAGCACAGGAGTTTCGCTGAAGGATCAAAAGTGAGCGTGACTGGAATAGAAGTTGAAAGGACACAGAATTGAAATGGCTACAAAATCCAATGGTCTGTCCCAACTGTAGCTGGCCGCTTGGTAATGCCCTCATCAACTCAAGCAAAGCATCGTAAAGAAGGCCATCATTGACAATCTGGTAGCCAGTGGGCACTGTCTGGTTCAAGCAGGACTTAGCATAAGGCACGATCCAAGGCCAAGAGAAAGGAGGTCTACTACAAGAGGGTGGATATTTGCTCATCATTGGTTGTTGGTTGATGTCTGACTACTTATGCAATTCTTATTTTGCAATCGCTTTAGATCCGCATGATACATCTGTATGATTCCGACTGGGAGGATTCCTACAGATCAATTGAACTCTTCTTTGTCAGCTGACAGCCACAGTTCGACATTCCTTCTGACAAGACAGCGGATCTGCTGAAAGTATGCAACCAGGAAGCAATGGGTCTGATGACCATGAAGTCTTCGTCAACAGACTCCTGGGCATCCACAGTACCGAGCCAACTGATTATAGGAACAACACACCTGTCTTCTTGAAGCCCCTTTAATATGCCTCCACTTGCATGTCAGGGGTGGACTAACTGTCCTTGACAATCCGATGCACAATTATGTTACAATTGACTCGGTCGGATGATACAACACATCACTTTTCTTATTGACCTGTAGCCGTTTGGCCTTGTTCCTTGCAGCCCTGTGGCTGAATGAACGATGAGCAGAACGAATCTCATGAGCTTTGAATGGAAGTCAGAATAAATATGGGGCTCCTGGCCTTACTACTAGGAGCAAGGACGCTACTAGGAGCAAAGGGCATCGCTACTAGGAGCAAGAACGCTACTAGGGGCTCCTATTCTTGTGGAGCAACACTATTGCGAGCCCCATTAGCTCGAAGCATCTGAAATGTCGCCCACCACAGTGACCCTGACTGCTGAAGATCTCTCCACCTACGCCTACACATGCTGGTGTCACTCACTACCACGGGTCACAATGGAATGTGCATATGCCATATGCAAGCTCTCAGACTCTCCGACCACGACTAGTCACTTGTCCCGGACAGCAAACGGGAACACTCAAACAAGCCAGCCTAGAATTGCAGAAGATAAGTGGTTTGGAAGTCATGATAGCCAACCCACTTGCAGCAAGCTTCGCAAATCTCTTCTCGATGTTGAATACTCTCAATGTGGACCTGCTACAAAAAGAACAGAACAGAATAAGAAAGGGACAACAAATAAACTTGTTCGGGATGTGACACCCTTGATCAATCCCTTATCATTCATGGTTCATAATGGACTGACTGGTTGAAATGACATCTCAGTATATAGTTTGGAGGCATCACTGAGGAGCCCAACGAACAGTATGTTTCCGTGGACATGACACATCATTCTTTCAGTGTGAATGGTTTCCACATCTTTTCTATGGTTTTCCACCTTCCACTGTCATTACATCTCTTTGAGGCCCAACTGCCGAATTGAGAGGCCTTCAGGAAGGACCACTTTCCTTTGGCCCACAACCTGTACACGTGACTCACCGCCAAGGCAATGGAAACCAAAGCCAGGCCCAACCTCAAAGTCATGTGGATTCGTGTCAGTCCCAGAAATGCAATCAAATCAAAGAGTCAATACATGCTTGATTACGAGAAGCACAAAAACATGCCCTCTTGTCAGTTCTGTGTCATTCTCTTTCGCATTGAACTTACGTACAATGTATATGTTTCTCTTCCCTAAGGACTCGGCCACAAGCAAATCCAGATTGAATCAAATTATTTAGCTTGTATGTACCAAAACCGAAACAAGTTGAACAACATTAACAATTGAGCATCAGCCGCTGCTTGGGTGTTTGACATTCGTTGACAACTTTATCTGCTCGTACGAAGTCCTACCCCATCTGACCCCTTCATGGCCTTTCGAACCAATTTCACATATTCTTTAGGCGGCTTCTTTTGTAAAGGGTTTAGATTGTTTTAGGTATGCATTCAACAGTGCGCGTCCAACTTCTCTCTCTCTCTCTCATGGCAAGTCCAAGGCACAAAATGCCTGTCCCTGAGATTAGCGCCTCAGTCAAATCGACACCTTCGCAGTTGTCAACGCCTATTAGAGCGCACACCCAGTAGCTGAATCTATTGTAGATATGTGTGGCAACGTCCTTGGAGTCAGTTGTGTTCAGTTCATCCGAGTAAATTTAAGAATGTAAAGCTGAATGAGCAATGACAAAGTTGACACAACGTTGACCAAACCACAGCGATCCCAGTTGTCTGTACTCCATGAAGAAACCCTGCTACTACGCAGTCTTGAACTCCAATTTCTTGATCATTCATCCGTGTTTCGGTTCACAAGGTAAAGCCTGCATAGGGCTGATGGCTGATGGCAGCACAAGTGTGCCACTGTGACAAGTTCTTGTTAAGTGCCCTGGGTTGAAAACACCGCCAAGAAGCCATGAGGAAAATCACGAGAAGCAGCACCACGAGCTTCCATGGACGCAGAAGAAATGATCTTCGTATGATCTCGCACCTTGGGATCGGCTTCGTATGATCTCGCTGGTTGAGCAAGCTGACTAAACCTGCTTTAGCAACACCTCAGGAGCGAGATGTCCTGAGACATGAACGTCCACATGGATGCTAACAAGGTCGAGTTTGGTAGAACGGTGGGGCTGCTGATTGCTGGAAGAAATATACACAGTCGAAACCACATTCTACATTATATATTTTATATATGTATACTATTGTATACACATGCGTTACTGTGTTTCCTGAAAAGCATTCCTGAATTGAAGTAACATGTCAATGCAGCAACACTAGATTTCACAATGGTGGGTGTCACAGTTTTGACAATTGCACAAGGTACGGCAACTGAAATGAGCTTCCCTCCGCTCCATACTCGCTCACAACGCTCACAAATGGTCATGAACACAAAAAGGGTGCTTGCCACGAGGCATCACGAGGCCATTGAATTGAACGGTGGGGCACCCACATCTTTGGTGGATGTGGGCTCAGACTCTTCTTGAGCAGGTTCTTTCAACTGCGTGACCAACATTTCTCCAACTGAGACCCCTGCCCTTGCAGTTGAACCGAGCCCGCTGATCTTTCTGAACCTCACACCAAACTCCAACCCCCCCTTCAAAGAAAGAAACGAGGCCAGTCGACACAGGAAACGGTTGCACCTCTCGCAATCCAAGCTGTTCGTGTCCTGTGACTGATACTGTCCCCGGAGGGATACAAACGACTGCATTCAGTGAACATCAGTTAACTGCAATCAAGAAGTGCTCTGAGGAATGAAACTCGGAATCTCTTTGGTGAAAACACAAGGAGCAATTCTGGCACGTTGAACAGCTATGCACAGTGTCGTATACACTGACCATGCACATTCCGTATCATTCCGCTATATTACGTGGCTTTGTTGTAGGGACCAACAAATACCTCGAATTACTGGAAAACCACTCTCTTCACGCTTCATATTTAAACTGATGGGAATTTTCTGTGCTCGAGAGAGAGAGAGAGAGAGCGAACTAGGCGAGCTGCTGGATGGTTCAGAGCTGTGTGCCACCTGCGTGTATGCGAGCGGTTTGGCATGACCTTAACCCAAGCTCTGCCCTCGCCTGAGAACAGTATATATATAGTCTTACTAATATCATCTAACATATAATATTTGGTCTGACTACACTAGAACAACCACTGACTACTAGAATTCGCATGCAATCTTGCTTCTTGTGTTTTGTGTAACCACGCCTGCCAAAGTCTAAGGAAAACGCATACTGCATACATCATCATACATGTCACACTCAATCCGAGCTTGTATGAGTACTTGATGTGGTCCAACCAACATGTTTATCACATTCTGTAATGTTTAGGAAGACCTCAACACGACCATGTGGCACCTTGCCTCACACCTCCAAATACGATGGCATGACTGGCTTGACCTTTTGCGAAACCACCTAGTCTCTACAGGCTCTGCCTCCAGCACGCGTGGAGTGGAGGTGACCTGCAGAAAATGAAATCTGATGAAATCTGTGCCGCGTGGAGAGGAGGTCGTTTCTGCTTGAACCAATTTGCACCCGTTGTTTCTGGCCGGGGTGTGGCCTGAAACACAAATGGTTTGCAACTCACCATGACATGAGCAAACAGCACTAACAACAGCGAATGAATGAATGAACTGAAAACAACAAGTGCATTTATATAATGTCTGGCACAATGACATAACGCCCTTTTGGGATTATGATTGATGCACAATTCAAGTTGCAACTGCAAAAACCTTGCACAAAACTGGCAACATGTGCCAAGATGCGAGCTGTGTGCTGCTTGAACTTTGCCATGGCTGTAAGGCTGGAACACTCACACTCAAGAACAGCTGCTGGATCGCTCCTAGAATCAGGGCGGGAACAGAGATGGATTTGAATGGTTGCTTTCACCTGCTGCGTCAATGTCCCTATGATTCCCCATGCAATAGAAGAAACTTTAGTGCAAATTCATGCAACAGGAAAAGCGGCGTTCCAAGTTCACTGTGAGTGTATGTTGTGCAATGGGGCTAGCAGGCGGCTGCGCTTTGTGCAACCAAGGGTCGCTTTTTACAAAGAAAGTCATCGACAACCTGCAGGACGATCGGAATGCGATTTCTTGCTAGTGTTCAAGCTTGCACTTTGCACATGGTGCAAGCATCACATTGGTTGTTCCTTAAAACCCCAAAAAGTCTTCTACAGAGGTTTCCAGTGAAACCACCTTGAGTAAAACACTTAAAACATACATGCCGGGAATTCCCACTTTGGATGATTCCCTCCCACCTCTAAGAACCAAAAGAGAAAGACTTCGAGGAAGCTCGTCAAGGCCAAACCTTGGTGAGTCTCAGTCTTTGCAAACACAACCGTCTACTCGAATTGAGTGCTTATCCAGCGGCATGCAAAGCACGTTGTATTGCCCCAAAGGCCAAACATCAGCGGCAGCACGTCCAATGGCACGCAAATTGCAAGCTGCAACAGCAAATCCTGGAGAACAAGCATACGTCCCAGCAAATTGGGCAAACAAGAACCAAATGTGCACAAAATGGAATCAATTTGATGCAAATCGATGCAAATTGCACATGTTGCAGAGGTCCTTGCGTTCAAAGCTTCTGTTCTCTTTCCTCAGGCTGCTGGGACTTGGAAGGACACCCCAGCTCTGAACCGGAACGGCGTCACATTGCAGGACACTCGACAGACTGCATACAAAGGGTGTGCCCACATCAAACGACATCCCTCCTTCGAATGCAAAGCAGTGCAGGGTCTGTGACATCAGCTCATATCACCAAATCACACCCCAACCATCCCCAACCTGTTCCTGTTCCCAAAATGGTTTCATCCTCCATTCAAAATCAAAGCATGCCGAAAGTCAGCGGCAGTCCAGAGTGGCTCTGCAGGGGTCGGAACCTGAAGTATACTGCTGACCAAACTGGCCAAAACCTCGAGGAAAATGGTCCTCCTGGGCCTCCTGAAGTCCATATTCAGGTATGACAGGTATGGCAGCAAACAACAAAAAAATCCTGCTTCTGCTGTGCCATCTGTGCCTAGCAGCAAAAGTAAGGACCGGAAGGCCAGAAAGGAATCCTCTCGCCACGCATCTTGCATTAACCAGACTGCAGAGTAGCACAACTTTGTGCCAGCAATCCTCATTGCTCGGTATGACGAGTTTGATTGGATTGCTTGCAAGCTCTTGCTGTCTGAAAGGATTTGAACTGGCTGTTCTAGCAAAAGCGATCTAAGTCAAAGCCGTAGAGGAAAACAACAACGCCGCCAAAGAGGTTTCTCCGCCCTAACTATTGGGTATCAACTTGCTTCTTTGATCTGATGGAATCTCAACCCAGGCTACCCAGCAAGTTCACAACTGCGACTGTACTACTTGGATGGCCCATGAGCTGACCAGTCCCTTTCTTTGGTGTTGCCGAGTCGCAGCAGCAAGACTGAATTTAGGCCTTATGCTTCAATGATTCAAACACTTGAACCTCCCAAGATTTTGCAAGGGTTCATAGACAGTCTGCAACCATGCAAAGATGGAACCTCTCAAATGCATCTCGGGAACATGCTGCCACAAGTGCCAGTCCAGGTCCATAAGGGAAAACCCACCGACTCGACATCAGGTCAATGTACATGGTCAAAGTGACCTGCAGGGGTTGCGATCATCGGTAGTATCCGTTGCTTTTGCAGCAGTTTCCCGAGCAAGCTTATGTAGATGGCTCTATTGTGAGCACATACACTGTATACACAAATAGATCTTTGAATTGAAGCGAATGGGGAACTATACAGTACAACACATGTAACTTTGAAGCAGGTGCCCGGTCTGTAAAATGGTACTTTTTCTGGCACAAGACATCAAGGTGGAGTGATTCTTGTTGACAAAAAACTGATGCTCCTCTGTTCTCCAAACTCATGCCAGCAACTGCATCTCCTCTCCTGCATGACGACAGTGAGCGCCATGAAAAGTCCCAGGATCATACACCAAACCTTGCAAATCATGCTTTAAAGCGAGTTTGCGATTTACACTCCTTCAGCCTTGGTACAAAAGCATCTCGCATGGAAACTACTTGGCATGTCTACTTGTATCAGTTGGGTTTGAGGCCAAGAGCAAGGAGGACTAAATCAGGGTGGTGACCCATCCGGAGACCAAAGCATCGAGTGGACTTCCACAACCAAACTAAAAGAGGTTTGGGTCGCTCAAACCTTATCATTGTACACCTTGGAGTGGACCCACAAAAAAGATCCGCCTGCACTGAAGGTGCTGGGCACAGTCAATCGCAAGATTTCAGCTTTAGCTCGGGGGCCCTTTATCCGCCAAGAAACCTGAGTTTTTGGAGGTTGTTGAAAATCGAGCGAACAAAACAGTCGTAAATATCGGCATTTGATGAAGGTTTTGGGACATGCAAATGTTTGAGGCGTTCTTGAAACATCTTGAAACATGTAAAAAAACAAAAAACAATTGATTGATTGTTTTTTTCTGAGATTTGGTCAAGAGTAGCCAGGTAGAACCGGCATTAACAAAAACCAGCGGCTTCATGGTACGGCTCTGGCTGGCTAGGGGTTCGTATTAGCCAGGTAGAATCGGGATGATGGGTATGTATTTTTTGGTAGCACTCGGAACATCTTTTGAAAAGCACTTTGAATCTTGCCACCACCAGTGTTTGCAAGGATACTATAACGCCACAAATACGGCAACATTACCACAAACATTTCTCCCGGTGGGGGCGACCCAGCCGCGTCAGCCGCGTAGCGGCGCGAATAATTGTGTACCTGTTGCTTGATTCCAAACTGGATGACTGCAGTCTACACTACGCTACAGTATCTTTTTCGTTTAGGGTGAAGGACTTTCGTTTACCGTGTTGTGTTTTCTTTGGAATTTTTTGGAAAAACACTTGAACTGATTTGAGCTTCGGGAACTGCGATTCTCCTGCTTGTGCTTGAGTTGGCACTTCAATTTGATAGATTTGAGCTGGATCGACAGTGTCACGGAGTTGAGAACTTCCAACTGTTTGTCGCAAGAGGAAAGGGAGGCTGGGGAACAAACACATCGCTGTCGCTGACTAACATAGAAGGAAGGGCACGCCCCGAACCGCTTCAAACGCCTTTCCATGACACCAAACAATGACATGAGATGCACTTAAATGTACACAGAATGCCGATGCATGAAGAACTCTCACCTTCTAGCGGTGTTCTAAACCATGCACTGCTGTTCAACTCTGAACTAAGCTTCCAGGCATGGTATATTCGCAGGAAAAAAACAAAGTAGGAAGATGTCAGCGCTATAGGCGCTGAAGTATCCAACCATGGCATCACTTTGGCTCACGCTGAAGGTGGTGGGTATGTGGATTTTGCGTGAATCGTTGACAAAGAAGCGTGTGACTCCAGGTAGCTTTCAAACTCTTGGCAAAGATTGAGGCAAAAACACATCACATTGTAGTGATCCACATTCATCCGCAGTCAGTTCTACTCTGAGTGGCACGCTGTCTTTTATGTGCTTGCTTCAGTAGCGGGTCCAATTCCGACTTGGGCTGTGCATTTGTTGAAAGCTTTCAAATGGCTACCACACAACATGAATCATAGTGAAGGCAGTGCGACCAGGTGGTAGCAAGTCTGTGTGTTAGCAATTTCCCTAAAAATCTAGGAGCCAAACTAGCAAATCATTAGTGCGAGCGTGAGTTATCCTGCATCCCAGGTCCTCAGGTGGTAATTAACTTACTTAAGCTACTAGCTGCAGTGTGCATCTGTTAGCAAGGCTGCTTAAGATCCCCGATTTTGTTCTCAGCTCCCAGTCCTTTTCACCCTCAGACACTTGCATTGGCGATCCACGACAATTGTCATGGAATCGTTGCACTCGACTTGGAGGACCTCAAACTTTGGCCACGGCGAAACTGGGACTATCAATGTACCATGATGGCTCTGTGATTCTCAATTTACCGTTTAGCTAGGGTTCAGGGTCTCAAGATCCAATACCTCTCCAGCTAGACTCTAGACTCACTTGGATTTGGCTTGTCGATACTTCAAGCCTGGCCCCTTCTACAAAACGAAGAACGCGATTCCAGATTCAAAGAAAGCATTGACTCGCAAAACACGAGAATCAAACACGAATCCTTTGGTCCCATTGGCCTAGGCCAAGCCATGTTTCTGGAGCTTCCCCGTCAATGCCTTGAGATTGTGCGAAGAAAAATAGACAAAGGATGGAGATGGATGGAGCTACTCCCTACAAATAACTATATACAGGCTCGACCAATCAACGATTATGAAATATATAGTATGTCTATATACTGTATTTCTATCTACTATGACTATGTTTATATATATATATATATATATTATACATACTCTCTTTGGAAAGTAAGTGGCCCTGGAATATTGAGTTGAGCCATCCACTGAGCCTTCCTGAAAACAGGCGCCATCTACTCACCACATGGGGCAGCAAGGCATATCAGCCCTGATAGACTAAAGTAAAAGCAATTGAGGAAATTGCACCATTCCGATCTTTTCTTAACATTGGGAAACACTGCTAATATTACCATTCTTGGCTGTTTTAAGTATTCGTTCACTCATCAATTTGGCGACATAAAACTGAGGAGTAGATGGCCCAACTCTTTCGACAGATTCTTTCTCTTGCACTTTGGCCACGGTTGCGTCATCTACTGGCCCTTGTTCCCGGCACTTTCAGTGGCAAGGTTGGGCCACAAGACCATGAACACCCACGACCCTTTCCCTTGTCTTTTTCTGTTCCTTTTCACTTTTCCATTTTCCTTGCCCTTTTCCCTTTTCCTTTTCCCTTTTACCATAGCAGAAAGCAAAGGACATGTTTACAAGTTTGAGCCAAGTAGATGGCGCATCATTTTTGGCACTGACAAGTCCTGCCGCCACAAAAGCAATTTTTTGTTGTGGCCTGGGTTTCATTTTTGGGTGGGTAGATGGCGCTCTCTTCCAAATTGGGGTTGCGCCACTTACTTTTTAAGGAGTGTATATATATATATCATATGTCACTACTGAACATGTTTGACATTTGACGAATCGGCGAGGTCTCGGAAATGGATCCTTACTCGCTTGAGACTGTCCCAGGTTCCAACTCACATAGTAGACTTAGCATGCCTTTCTGCTCGCAACATGTGCCCAAACCTGATGCCTTGGCTAAAGGCTTTGCACTCACTGCTCGCTATCATTCGCTATCAAACTCCCAATTTCTGGATCATCCGCTCGCTCACGGGGATCGCACCACTTTATTTGCAAGACTTGAAGCCAATTCGGAAATTGCTCGGGCAGTGAATTCTCTGCCAGACTTGAAACATGCACGTGCATTTTTACCTTTGCGACCTGTATTGTCAGTCGCAAGTGGGTAGGTACGAATAGGTTCAAAACACCACATGTCCTTGAAACTGCATTCTATAGATTCTATAGACCAACAAATGATGTTTCGGTAACGAAATGTTGGCAAGCACATGATAAATCCCAGAATCGTGCAAACATGTGGGTCATCACTCCTGTACAAAGCGGGCCTCGCGGCGAAAAGATTGACCCGCAAAACATAAATGTGCAATCTCTTTAGCTGGCTTTCAGGTCATGTGAAAATGATGGCTTGTTTGCCTGACAGGCTGTCCTGACAGGCTGTCAGCTGCTGTCAGCCTGTCAGGTTCAGCCATCTGATGTAGCGGAGCTCCAAAACCTGGCTCATCTGGCTACCCACTGGGGAGCTCCGACAAGAATAGTGTCAGTGCATTGGCGATGAAAATGATGCTAAAGGTATCTAAAGGCACGGGCTAAGGCTTTTTGGCCGTTCTTGTGCGTTTCATCTCTTTTGTACTCTACACATCGGCCAGGCTGTGGCTCGCAGAATCTGTTTATAGAACACGTATATATACAATATATAAATCAACATGTCCGATGCCATGTTACGCGAAGAAGATTGTCTGGAATTCTCTCATGAGCATGAAGTCCGCCCATTGTGTTTCCAGTTTCTAACAATGTCTTCCAAGCTGTGAAAGGCTTTTCACACATGCATCTGATGGAACTCGGTCGCCACAGTTTTACAGCGTGCATAATTTTGCCTCGTCTTCGCCTCCCACGGGTACTGAGAACCTGCCAATCTCTGGGATAATGATTACACTGATTGGCTGAAACAGAATCTGGACCTCAAAAACGGATGATTGAGCTTGAGTTTTTCGTTGATGTCATTGATCCTGCTTGTCACTGCATGTCATGAATCTATTCAAAACTTGTGTGTAACAGAAAAGCCACGCCGTGGCTTTCTCAGCCCTCATAAAAGCAACTCAAGTCCTTTCCACCTACACCACTCAAACGATGTCTAAACTCATTGTTGCAGTGGAGGAGCTCTGCAACATCATCAGAGTACATCTCAAGGAGGCTTTCACGGCCTGGTACACCATGCAACCATGTGCCCAACAAGTTCCCTTCTTTCCAGAGACCTCTTAGAAACAAGTCACCAAGTGCTGATGTTCTCCGTCCATATGAGCGGATCGAACATGATTGAGCCGCAAGGTAAAATGCTATTTTCATAATTATATAAGACTGAATGCAAGAAACCATATCTGTGACTTGCAGAATGACATTGAGAAGGAGAGAACGATGCTTGACCAGCTCAATGCTATCAATCAAACCCAATGCTTTGTCCTCAATGCGTTCTCCTCACCTGGCTTCAGCAGCAGCTCTCGCAGTTGATCGGCAGTCCTCCGAAAGGTGGGTTGTTGACTCGCTGTCCTACAAATCTTGGCTTCTTCACCAGGGACTACTGTACAATCTGCACACCAAATGCAGGTGGATCCCGCTGGACCATTCAGTTTCAATCACAGTAAAACAACAAAAAATAAACGCTTCTCTGCTGTCCTTGCCGCACCCTTCTGAGAGACATACTGCATCGTTTGCACCTGCGCTGAAAGGTGAGACAAACATTGAGTAGTGAGATATACATGCGCTGCGGTATGGGCAATGTTGAGCAACAAGGAATATACCGATCTCGGGACAGCCTCCTCAAGAAGTGTTCGCCAAGTAATGTTGATTCCGACACGTTTCTACATCCGTTACATTGCGCGTGGTTCTTTTACATCAAAGAATGAGGCAGGTGCTTTGCACTTTGCTTTTGAACGCATATATTATCACCAAGCGGACAAATCGCTCTTGATTTCTCGATCACAAAAAAGGGCTTCAAGGTACACACTTCAAGGCATGTCCTTCACAACTTCCTCTACAATCACATCAACTGCACATCAAATGAGGATTTCGGCTCTCCCCTCACGTGTGCTAACTCGGGATATTGAAATCCGACATGGTGTTCCATCACACCACTCATGAAAGAAATTCAAAAGGTTTCCAGGCTCAAGCCCTTCTTTACACATTTCACACGAAAAAATTTCCACTTCAGAAGCTCTCTAAGAAGCTGCTCTGCACACGTGTGGAAACTCACAACCACATTCACCCTTCAGAATTCGGCTGCGAACTTCAAGCACCAGCCAGCCTCATAGAGCCCCATCTAGCAGAAACTCCGTGCGAGCCATGTCACTCGAATCAAAACGACCCGGAACCCCTTCATACCCAATCATGTGGCTCTTGGACTTGAGCGTTCACCTTCAGCAACCACCGGAGATGCCCGAGCTAAAATGCTAAAGCCCGACCACTTCTGCTGGAGGTAGCTCATGCCATGACTGCCCTTCCTCAAATCACATCGAATCACCTTTCTGCCATTTTCACACCAGGCGATGGTGACCACCTTCGAAGACACCCCGCTTGAGCACAGAGGGACCGAAAGCTCACTGTCGAACAGCTTCCGACGCCAGCCCCCATGACGGTGGATCTTGAGCGACACAATCCCTTCAGGAAATCGCACCACACATTCATAGGGCGTGCCATTCACGGGAACAAAGGACACGATGTTGATCACTTCCTCCGGAAACATCCAACGCACCTCACGAAGGTCGCTGTTGAGCAATCTTTCCAAAAAGACCGGCATTGATTCGCCGCCCTGCGAGGTGTGAACTGCAAACTGGATGTCTCGCGGCCACACTCCCACCTCAGAGACCTGGCTGTCTCTACTCACCTCATCTCGAGGTGCATTCCGACCTGGTACATGGAGACCTCGACGAGATAGGCCCCCTTCATGTACATGAGGTTCATCTGCACAAAGATCCTCCTCCTGGTTCAAAGAGCCTTCACCCCGACGGACCCCTTCATGTAATTGAGATCCTCGATCAAAAAGACCCCCTTCAGGAACTTGAGGCTCACCTTCAGTGGAATCTTCAGCCCCCAATCTCATACTCCGGACCGCCGCTCCTGAACTCCCAAAGCCC